TTTTTCAATACTTAATCAATATTTATTAAAAATATATTTGATACAAATTATACGAAATATTTCTTGAATATCAATTTTAAACTTTTAACTACAATTGTTTCAAAATCGAAATATGTTTGTCACCATGATATGATTCAGAACACATAATATAGTATATTTCTAATCTTTATATTCTTTGATATCTACAATCAATTTTTGTACGTACTATGATAAGTTTTATATATTAAATATATATAAATATATAAATATATATATAAATATATATAAATATTATAGACAATAATATTTTTTGATATTTCTAAAGAAGTTAAATATTCTTATAATTACATGAATAATTTTTTAATAATAGATTATTAATTAAATTTGCTGTTATTAATCTATTTTTTTTTCCAATATTAATAAAATGTATTTTTATAAAATTATTATTTATAGATAAAACATGGCAAAAAATTCTTTATCAGAACAATTTTCCTTAAAATGGAACAATTTTTCTAATAATTTAACATCTGGTTTTCTAAGTCATCTTACTGAAAATGATCTAGTTGATGTTACACTTGCAGTAGAGGGTCAGTTGTTACAAGCACACAAATTGGTTCTTTCAGTATGTAGTCCATATTTTAAAAATATATTTAAGGTACATAAATTTTATTTTAATATTAATTCATTAATATTATTTTTTATATTTAAAAATATCTATAAGTAATAATTGCTCAGAAAAAAACTTCTTAGAATTGCTTTGTAGGAAAATCCTTGTCAACATCCAGTCATTATCCTCAAAGATATGAAATATGCTGAAATTGAATCATTGTTAAAATTCATGTACCAAGGTGAAATCAATATTAATCAAGAAGATTTATCTACATTTTTAAAAGTGGCACAAACATTACAAATAAGAGGATTGACAACAGAAGATACAAGTAGCACATCATTTGTTAATTATGATCAATTAGATGCTGATTCTTTTACTCAAAATATTGTTCAATCAAATTTGACTTCAATAAATGAGATTTCCAAAGATGTAAATATGATAGATAGAAAAAAAAGATCTCGTGATATAACAAAAAAAGGTTGCAAAAAGAAAAAACAAGATGCATTATTAACATCAGAGAACATTCATGATGCATCTAATAAAAAACTAAATAATGATAATCAAGAAGTTTTATTTTTAATGAATAACGAAAATAATGATACAAATGATATCATAGAGGAAGAAAATATTTCTATTATAAAAAGCAATAATAATGATAAAAATGAAGATACTACCCTAGTATATTATCCTTTTCCCTTGGATATTGAAAATTCACAAGAAAATTCAACTGAACAAGGTAAAAAGATAAATAATTTAAAATTAAAATAAAAATTTGTAAATTATAGATAATAAATTAAATAATTGATTAATAATATGTTATTATATTACTGTAACATTTCAGATGTTGAACCTGTAATTTATAGACTTTCTGCACGAGGTCGACCACAATTAGTGCATGAAGGTTATGTTTATAACTTGACATCTCGCTCTGAGGGTTTGAATAGATCTCATTATAGATGTGCTGAACAACATCGTGGATGTAAAGGTAAATGTGCAGTTATTGCTGAAAGATTTATGCCTACAGGTGTACATGATCATAATCACCCACCTGGATATCAATCAGAACATGATTATAGAAAAAAGAAAGGTTTAGATATAGATATTTCTTAAATCATAAATATTTTAATTTATAAATATAGAAAAAAAATATAGAAGAAAAAAACACTTTATTATTTTGTTATTATAATTTCAATAAAAATAGAAGATACTATTCAAATAATATTGATATATAGAATAATATATAACAATAGTTTTCAATAATAAATATATTTTTAAATTAAAAAATATTGTTTTACAATTCTGTATAAATAATAAAAATTAGTTAAAATATTACAATAGTTGATAAAAATATGTGATTTCTATTGCAAAATTTATAATTATAACTATATATAAAAATAATTTATATAAATCATTATATTTTAATTAACTGTGATGCACTTTAAGGTATATAAAGGAAAACAGTTTAAAAAATGTGATGTGAACACATTCCATTTAGTATTATATTTGCATTAAAACCAAATAAAAGTATTTAATTTATATTATATGTTTACATATAAAACATTATTTTTCATGTAATAAATATAATTGTTTTTTATAATATATACATAAATGTAAACATGTATGTATGTATGTACATATGTACATATGAATTGAATGTTCTACTTACTTTTATTTTGTATAAAAATAATTTTTATATAATTTATCAGAAAAAATAAATTTTTTAGTGTATAAAATAGAAATTAAACAAATAACATCATTAATGGTATAAAAAGTATTAAAAATTATAAAAAAATTTATTTTTATACTATTTTATAAATTTTCGTTTTTGAATTATTGAAAAATAATTAATGTCAGAATTAATGTGATAATGATTAATCATTATCATTAATCATTAATGATAAATCATTCAATTTAAAAGAAATTGATTTTATAATTTCATTTGTAAAAATTTATAAATATATAAAAAATATAGAAATAATGCATTTTTTCATAAGCATAGAAAAATTGTATGAACAATACTGGTTAAGACAAAAATTAAATAATAAGGAATTTGTTTCACAATTTTACTCAAGTCTATCTCATATTCATGAAATTCATTTATTCGAACTGCATGTTTATTTTTAATTAAAATGTTAATGTCGTCTAGCCATCTTCTTTTCCAACTTCCGTTGCTTCTTCTCACTAACCTCAGGTTGTTCTGGAGCTGGAGCAAAAAACCATGGAGCTAATATTTGTTTCCATAGTATCCAACCTCCTCTTAATGGTACCTATTATAATAATTCAATGTAAACATTTTATGATCTATTTACACATATAAGTAAAAAATTGAGAGAAGTATAAGAAATGAACAAATTATTTTAAATTGTTTTATAATTTATTAAAAAGTGTATTTTATAATCATATTATTTATTTCATTAAGTAAATAATACTTACAAGAAGCCATAGCAACCAAAAATAATTTGATATGAGAGAAAGTACTTGTACTCCAGAAGTTAATATAATTAAATCTTTTATATGTCTAAAATATGAAATGAAAGTGTTATTATATTTAATAAATTTATTAATATATAATAAAGTATTATATTATTTATTAAGATTATTGAAATATGTTGTGATATTTACTCTGCTATACCTCCTTCCATATTAAGATCAATTCCAGAATCTAAAAGCTGACCAGATTCTGAATATGTTGCATGTGCTATATATTTCATAAATTGATAACTTCCTATATATATAATTCCAGAAAATATGGTTAATGTCTGTAATTATAATATATAGTATAATATGTTGCTAAACATGCATAAAGATAAAAATAATATTTCAAATATAAAACTTACAGTTGCTAATGTTGTAAAATTAAAAAATAACATTGTAACCATAAAGTATATTCCTATTGCCCCAATGATCATATTCTGATAAAAACTCAATGTTATTTTATTCTCTTCGACTATTTGTTTTGCTCCTTTAGTTGCTACTTTAGTTTTCTTACTCTAAAAATATAATAAATATCATTATTTATTATTTATTTTATTAGAAATAAAAAACTTAAATTTATAAATATTAAATTTATTATTTAATTACATATTATAAATCATTATATGGAAATAATTGTAAATTCAGAATGGTTAAATGACAATAAAAAAAAGAATATTTTAAATAATAATTAAATAACTTACCGTCATTTTGTTTGTAAATTATAATACATAAAATATTTAATATTCTAATAATCTATTAGATATTAAATTAAATAATATTTATTATTATTATTAATATTTAGTACATGACACAAATTTAATCTTATTAAATATGTATTCAAAAACAATTAAGGTTTGTTAAAGCCACGTGAAAGATGTCATATAATAAAAGTCTCTAGGTTAACATTTTGTGATTCATA